TCTATACCGATTGATCTGCAATCCGTACAGTTAACTATATAGTTCGAACAGTTGATCAGTGATCTGTATATACTGTATAGTTTATATAGTTTCATACTAGTAATGTGAACTATTCAATAAAATTAAAAATATAACACTAGTGCAAATCGATTTTATTTTCTTAATTTGTTATTTAACAAAACAAGTAAAACAAATAAGAAAATAAAAAATAATAGTTGATCGACAATTTTTATAGTTTGCGTAGTTAATTACATTTAACTATAGTTTTAACAAATAACTACAGTTAACTATAGTTTTGACAAATAACTACAGTTAACTATAGTTTTGACAAATAACTACAGTTAACTATAATTTGATCAGTTAACTATAGTATGCATATGGATTGTATAGTTTACACAAAAAATTATTTGGATAATACGGATTACACACAAATACGGATTTTGAATAGTTATCCGAATTGTCGATCAACGGATCGCACCACTAATCTGCAATTTATGTTTATAAATATTTACCTATTAAATAATCATTTTATTCAGGTTAATTTAGTTTGTGAGTATTAGATCATTTATTAATCTATATATTTAAAATCTGAAATTCATGTTCATAAATATTTACCCATTAAATAATATTTTTATTCTAGTTCGTGAGTATAAAGATCATTTATTAATCTATGTATTTAAATCTGCAATTCATGTTTATAAATATTTACCCATTAAATAATCTTTTTATTTGGGTTAATTTAGTCGGTGAGTATAAAGATCATTTATTAATCTATGTATTTAAAATCTGCAATTCATGTTTATAAATATTTACTCATTAAATAACCTTTTTATTCGTATTAATTTAGTCAGTGAGTATAAAGATCACTTGCATTAGAGCTTAAAAATCGCATAAATAACTAATCATTTAAAAATTAGAAGTAATTCTAGATATGGAAAATGTGAATATTGTAATGAAAATAACACGAATAATGCATGGTGTAATACATGTGATCCCGACAATACAATTCAAGGATGGACAAGTAGAAATAAGGATATTGATAACTTTATGAAAGACTTTCAACTTAGAGCTACTTCGTATGAGGAAGTGATTGAATGGATTCCTTTTGATAAACTAGATAAGATTGAAAATATTGGTGAAGAAGGATTTGGTTCTGTATTTTCAGCGTTCTGGTTGGATGGCATACGAAAAATTGATGGTAATAGAAGAGTGCGGGAACTTGGAATTGTTGCACTAAAGTCCTTGCCTGGTTCTAATGAAAACCCTCTCTGCTGATCACTTCAGATGAATTCTATCAACCAATCAGATCGCTAGAATCAACTATACGCACTATACGTATGAACGCGAAATATATTTACGGCATTTTGCCGTAATTTAGTAATTACCCCCGGGTATTACCTGGTTATATCTACCCGGGTATTACCTGGTTAAATCTACCCGGGTAGCCATAATCACTACCCGGATATCTGATTACCCGCGGGTAACCCGGGTACAAACACTAGGGCACGGGAAAATTTTTAGGCATGCCCCCGTAGATAGGGTCCAACTAATCAATGCTATCGTTATATATAAGTAGTTACTACTAACCAATCCGAGCGATCTTTGAATCTAACGTTGCTTTTTCAATCTTCTGGATTAGATCATATTATCTAGATTGTATATAAAATAGCAGGATTCCAGTAGCAACTAATAGGTTGTAGAGTCATTAATAAAAGCATTTAAAGATCCGATAAGGTATATAATTGACCTTTGGAGTAAAAACTTATAAAAACTTAGTAAGGAAGTACAATTTCAAGTATAAAGAACATTGATTAATCAAAGTAAGCTTATATATTTTAGTTTAATATCGTAAATTCATATATAAATTAATTCAATAGATTATAATTTAAAGAGTCTTAATTGCAATGGCATAGGTAATTTGTTACGTACTAATTATAATACAATATTTGTTATAATTTCTTATATTTAATCTTATCTTCTGATTGGTTAATTGAGATCGTTATCGTTTTATTAATCATGGCATGCCCCTATAGCTTAAAGGCATGCCCCTGGGTATGCCCAAGACCTTCGTGCCTTCCACCCTAGGCCTTATAGGAATTTATTTGTAAATTACCAACTAATAACCAAAATTATAACAGTGTTAATTAATAATAATTTTCTGAAATTTGTAGATCAGTCGGAGCGTCAATTTGCTAAAATAATATATTTACTTTTCCTTGACAAAATTTTTTATTTTAATATAAAAAGTTTTTTTTGTAACTTTGTTCTTATTTCTACGATTATGATATATAAAAAATTTGAGCGAAAAATACTATAACAGGTTAGTGAGCCTACATAACTACTTTTGCAAAATCCTTATTATTATCCGAATACTTAGAATTTCTGGCCAATTGAATTGCTGAATTTCAACTTGATATTAGTGTATCATCAAAAAATCGTTGTTATATAAAAAGACGCATTCTGCGTAAAACAAAAAAAAAAAATCGTTGTTATTAGATTAATTTTATCACCGTTTTCAATTTCCTTATTTTAAAAGTGAAGCAACTAAAATACAATTAAAGTTGGGATTAGGGTTAGGGATTTGGTAAGGATTATACATAAAATTGCTCTCCGACACTTTTTATTAGTGCTCTAATAAGGCAGGTTTATACATTTGTTTTTTGTATTTTCGGCTTTTTTTTTTGTTTTTTTACGCTTTATAAAATTTGCGATTTGATTGGTCAATCAATGTAAATCTCCCAAATAAGGGGGATGGCTAAAGCCATGTATTCACGTGACTTTTGCCATTTAGGGTTTAGGGTGAGTTTAATATTAGGGTTAGGGTTAGAGGTAGAGCTTATATATAGTAAAATTGCCTTCCCGACATTTTTTATTAATACCCCAAGACAGGTTTAGACTACTGTTGATGTTTTTAACTTTTCGTTCATTTTTTACAACAAAATTTCACAATTTTGATTGGTCGATCGACACAAAAAAAGTCACGTGGGTAATGGCTTTAGACGACCCCCAAATAAGGAAATTAAAAACGGTGCGGTAAATTTGGTCCTGTTATTATCGGATTTGTTAACAAAGCGATAGTTCTGATTAATTACGGTATGTTGCATCCTAATAAAGTACCCTCTTATCCACAATAAAATTGTTGTATTCATGAATATTATTCAATTTTAAAAATGATTACTTTATGATAATACGAAGACCCTGGGTACTGTAAACGGTTGATCGCATCTCACATGTAAATTCGACTGATTGCCATCCAGTTTCGAAATTATAATTATTTCTTAAAGGGGAGCTCCCTCGATGTGATTTGAAAGTGGTCTCAATTAATAAAAGTAATTATGATTAAATGGTAACAATATGGTGAAAATTCGTTGTACGAATTGCGGATTTTAAATTTTAGTCAGAGTAAAAGATGGTATGCACCTCCATATTTTATTCATCTAAATGATAACTTTCTTGATTAGTTTATTCGAATTCTGACTAATTAAAATTTTAACTCAGATCCATTGATTGAGGCGCTTGAAACGCCCTATGTATCTACAGAATTCTCTGCTTGGGATTTATATTTAATATATAATAATGTAATTATACAGTATTAGAAGTTGTTAAAAGAGTATAGTTTGTATAATATATATATTAGATAGGTGAGAGAAAGATACTTATTAGAACCTCCTAATAGTTCTGCGACTGCAGGGCATTGTACTATTAAAACATAGTGCCTAGCACGGTATTATGCTTTAATAGTATCTGGCCGGCACTTGGATGTTCTTGCTTAAACTAGTTTGTGCTTTAAACCCGTTCCAAGTGAATACAATAACCGGTCTCAAACTCTGTTTAAAATGACTAACGCCAATAGTTATGCAAGTTGGTCTAAACCTATAAAATATAATTGTATATACAGTATGATATATCGTTGCACCTATTGGTATATTATTATATATAAGTTTTTTATTGCTCTAAATAAATCGCTATTACATGTGGAGTTTTAATAACCAGAAAATTTTAAAATTCTAATAGCCGAGATTTTGTCAGTCATCTTGGATTATGACCATTAGGGACTAAATTCTCATTTATCGTTTAAATTAAATTACTCATGCAATTTTAAGAATTCGGGTTAAAACTTCTTGTATCACCTCTATAATTCATAATATGAAATATCTTTATAAAATTTAATTATTTTCAATTAATAAATTATAGCAAAGCAGTGGTTACTCATTAGTTAAACGTAAAAATTTTAATAACGTAATAAGTCCTTTTTTTTTTTTTTTTTTGCAGAACACGTTTATATTAGTTATTATAATATTGAGTTTATAACTGCAAGTAATTAACTTGAATATATAAAAATAAATTTTGACCTAAACTAAGCCAATAATCTACTGAACTTCAATTTTTGTCTCGCCTGAGGTTATATTTCACATTTTACTTTATGCGCTAGATCTATTTTCACAGTTATTATGATATCTTTATTCGTCTTAACCCAGGAAACCAAAGAGAGAGACATCCTTTTTTAAGCCAAAAAAAAAAACATTAAATTTGATTATCTAAATTTCATGATATTAGAAATTAAAACAGAATTAAAATATTTATCACTACTGGATAGTTAAGTTTCCTTCTAAAAGGCGTTTGATAGTGGATTAATACAAGTTGAGATGTTCCCATAAAATACATAATACTAGTATAAAGTAGTAATTATGGCTTAGAATCGATCGATCATTATTATTCCTAACCAAGGAATTCTAAATTAAACATTACCGGTGGCGGCTATAACTAATCAATTACATCTTTATTATTATTATTTTTTTTTTTAAAAAAAAAAAATAAATGGCTTAGCCGTAGTAAATGTATTTAAAAATTATAACCGAAAATCACGCGAATTTACAATTTAGAAACGCATGTTAATCAGTTGCATTATTAAATAAGAAAAAAAAAAAAAAGTTAAAAATCACAAATTACACTTATTTATTCATCTACTATTGAAATAATAATTTTAACAGAAGATAGAGATGTCAGGAGAACCCCCTAAACAAACAGCAATAAATATACCAGCGGATTTACCCGGCGCAACAACACAAGCAGGAGCTACAGAGTCAGGAGCAACAACTAAAGAATCCGGAGGCGATAAAAGTCAAGATGATAGTGAAAAAGGTGGAGCAGGTGAAACAGGAGGAACAGGCGGAGGGGATGTTGGTGCCGGGGAATCGGTTAAAGAAGTAATGGGCTTTCTAGAGTCTATTCACGTAAAAGATAAACTTGAAGAAGAATTGGAACATATAGATCCTGACACAGTTTTAGAAAGATCAACCGAATCAGAAAACATTCAAGGAAGAATCAACAAACTAGATGTAATAATTACAATTGGTCTTTATTATGCATCGCTCATTACGGATTGGTTAACTTCCTTAGGAGACTCAACATCAGTTGGAGCGTTTTTCTTTAACATATTTTTTGGATCATTTAACATTACGCAATGGAAATTTGGACAACTTGAATTAGTGGCAAGTATTTCAGGTATGGCAACAACATTACAAATGGGAATTTTTGCAATTGCTGCGTCATTATATGCGATTGCATCAGTAGCAAAAGTCAACATGCCAAAGCAATTAAGTGGGCCTTTGTATTTTGGGGGACCATTCCAATTCGTTCACATTATTAAGACGTCATATAATGATTATCATCAATCAACTAAAAGTTGGGATGCACAGATATCACAAGGAATTGGAGTCTTAAGTCAAATATTAATTATTATCGCAGCTGGATTTGCAGCTAATACTAGGGTAGCAGAATTAGGAGCTTTACAACCACTTTCTTCCGGAAGTTCAGCAGTTAATTCTAATTTCACACCACCTGCTGGTACTGAAATAGAGGGAAGACCAATTAATGTTACGGATTCAGCTCAGGTGACAATGGCAGTTAGACATGCAGCATTGTTCGCCACGACAACCTATGCGGTTTCAGTTGTTGCAATTATTATGTCATCATCATTAAATGTAATTCAATGGATGGCAGACGTTTGGCGTGTCAACAGTGACGATATTCTCATATACTACATATTTAAATATGTTACCAGAATTATATGTTGTTATCCAGTGGGAGTTGCTGTTACAGAAGCCGCGACTAAGGTTAGATCTTTAACAGATTCGACATTCAATACCACCAAAGATCCGACAGCCACAACCACCACAGATCCAACAGCCACAACCACCACAGATCCAACAGCCACAACCGCCACAAATTCCGAGAAGTCTGATCCTTCGTTACAAACCTAACACTATTGTAATAGGCAGATCGTAAGGATAGGACAGTTAGTACGGTAAATCAGTTAAGTAGGGTAATGACACAATGTCATGATTATAAATTAATAATAAATAAATTATTTATCATTTTGGGTAAGGGAAAGATAAAATATATTCACAGATCGCAGATATGATGTAATATTTTACAATTATTATGTAATGTTAAATTTTTTTGGTGTATAAAAATAAATTTTGGTTGACCCACCACTTCGATAAAAACTTTACAATGTCTTTTATTTTTCGTCGTGTTACGAAACGAAATGTTATATTTCCAAAACTAGAAGTTTATCAAACTGATATTTCGAAAGTGTGTAGACTGTTATTTTTGAATAATAGTGAGAGTTATCGATGGTACACACCTTTTGGGAGGTACTATCTTTATGAAGAATTATATAACTATATTTATTGTTTAAGACGTATGGGTTTTTTTTAAAATTACTCTTAATTGTAAACAGTAACGTTTCAGATAATGATCCTTTGGTTATTGAAAGAGAGAAAAAACGTCTTCTTGGAGGTAATAATCATATTTAAATATTTTAATTTATATATATATATATATATTTTGTAACCCGATTTAATTTATCAGTTGATTCCGCAGGGAAGGTTAAAGGACCAATGAAGCACGCTCCAGGTTGGAATGAAAGGTTGGCATCGGATAGTGAAGCTATGGTAACTATGTATATTATGTCTCATTTATAAATTTCTCTTTGTATTTGTTTAACCTTCTTTTCTTTATTAAAAAGGTTAAGGCTGAACGGGAACCAGATCATCAATCAATCGCTGAACTTCAACAAGAAACACTCTCTCATTTATTGAATTTACATGGGGATGAAGGTGATGAAATTATTGTTAAGAAAGAAGTTGAGGTTAAACATCATGATAAAAGAGGTGAATTTACTGAATCTGCCAAAGTGGAACGACATATTAATAAATAATACGCGAATTGGTTATTTTTTTAAAGTTTAAAATAACACAAAATTATTTTGAGATGGTTTTACTACTTCTTTCGCTTGGATGAATAATTTTCATTCTAAAAATAGAAAGTTATTACAAATACTTTGTCATCCATTTTTTTTTTAGTTTGTATTTCGGGTTTTCTTAACCAGAAAATGTAAAATTAGACTATTCATATGACTACTTCCATTTCAAATCATTGTGTCTACAAAATAAACTTATTAAACTTCGCTCAGCATAACGATATTTAATTATGTCTATTTTAATACCATTTTACTGAATTGGAACCGCCTATAATTTCTTTAACCGTCTAATTCAACTGGCATTAGGTTAACCCTGGACAACAATAACATAATTTGACCCAAACAATTTTTATGCGGTTAAACGGTTTCAATCCTTACTCCAGGAAGACCATGGAATTTCGAAAACGTGATAATAAATAGTGGTCTCTTAGTGGCGCAAGGGGTTTAATGATATAATGAAAATTAAAATAAAAATTTTTTAATCACACTTCTTACATCAATACTGTGATATTACCATGTTTTCAATATTCTCATGGTCGCCTGGCAGAATCCACAGGTGGTCCAATATCCATGTTCGTATAACACTCCAGTAGTGTGGTCATTTTTTTTTGATGTCCAAAGGCTTTTTTTTTGGCATGTCCAACATTCAAGCATATCCCGAACCCTCGAATATTTTTAAAAATAAAAAAATACGATTACTTATTCTCCGTTGTTTTAAGACATTTTGCTTAGAATGTTTAATAGGTTATCTTAAAAATTTTTAGGCAAGAACAATTTATTTAAAACGTTTAAAAACAAAAACAAACATAAGGTGTCCAATGACAACACTGCATGTTCGAGCCGACATGGCTGCTAGTGATCCTGACCAGTGTATAAAATTTAAACTTTACTTTATGTATGCTATATGAACATTGACGAAAAATTTTATGTGTGCTACATATAACAAGAATTATTTTTTAATTTGAAAAAAATAATTTTAGTGCTACATTTTACTACGTATACAATTAAAAAAATAGTATGCGCTAACTCTAAATAAACATTTAAAATGCAGAAAATAAAAATGATGTGTGTAATCATTTAAGTGCACGTTCAATTTTATACACTAATTATTAGCCAGGAATCCTGGCTAATAATTTAAAAAAAAAATCGGCTAAACCGATTTTTCGTCTATTTTTCTTAAAATCAGCTAGCGCTATACAAGACCAGTTTACAATGCATACCAATTCAACTAGTGATTGGATCATCAAATTTCTCGGATGATAAAAGAAACGAACCTTTTTATAGACAAATGATGCAATTAATACGAGATATCTGTAAAAAAAGATAAAATCATTAACGTTAATGAAAGGTGAAGAAACATGTTTATGATTAACTGGTATGTAAACTTGAAATACGGTTGGTGAGTTTAGTTCTAAAAGAAATAATTGGAATAAAAAATGAGGCGATATAACACTACTCAAGGATGAACAAGGATATCGCGCAAAGCAAACTTGGAAGTGGGCTTTGGCCGATGATTGCATTAAAGAATTTCAACTTTAATACTACACAAAATATGAGGATGTGATTGAGTGAATAAATTGAAAAACATTTAACTGATAGATTTTTAGTAATTTGGTTAGATAGTGTACGATTAATTCAAGGTGAATGGAAGAAATATACATAGTCACGTATGCCATCATGTAAAATGGAGCTTAAATATTTAGATCACAGAATTATTAGAAGAAAATTAAAATATTTATTATTCTACAATACAGGATAAAGGTTTAGTAAGTTTATCTTAAAATTATAGTGGTAGTTGAATGATCTGTAATTACAAAATTTAATTACAATAAATAAACGTATCGGTATCTGAATTATGTTATCGTTATTAAAAAACAAATTTTTACATTTGTAAAACTGGAACAATATCAAGTTAATGTTTTTTTTTTCGGATAATAATCCTAAATTAGACGGCTCATATGATATAACGTTCTAACACAACTCATTACGCCTTTTTGATCCCAACTATAATCAACTCTCTTAAATGCAGTGCGATGGGAGACATAAGGCAAATTTAAAAAAAAACCTAAAATACATATAACGCTATTTACCTGGGACCGAAAATTTGTAATTAAAGAGAATTTTGATAAAATAGACCTTAGAAAGTGTGCATTTAGAAAAAGTTGACTATATAGAACAGTATGATTTACGCAATTTCATATTTTTTTATATTAAAATTTTTCCAAGTCCCGAAAGTATTATGAGATATCAGTCACTTTTCTATTATAAAGAAAAAATTTGGTTGGTTCACAGAAAAAACTGTATAATGTCGGCTGCTGGTAGAATCTAAAAAATAGCCAATTACGTATTTCAGGATCACATGTTTAAATTCAGACCATTGCGCAACAATTCTATTAGATTTTAGTCATGTCAACTTCGACTAGTGAAAGTGAGGTAGAGAAAACTGATAGTGAAGATAGTAAAAATGAGTCAATAGACGAAACATTTAATAGTGAAGAAGATGAAGATGAAGAAGTAGAATCTTCTGATAATGATAACGGTTCTAAAATGGTGATTATCGAGAATATTGAATCTACACAGGAAACAGATGAATCAGAAGAAAGTGATAATAGTGTGCAGGAAGATGAAGAAGAATTTAATGATGAAAAGATGGTGGAAGATAGCATGGAACTATCAAATAATAAGAAGCAAGATGTTCCCAAAGCACGACGGAAAGAACAATCTTCTCAAGAAAATAAAATAGTAAATACTTTTTTTTCTTTTTTTTATAAAAAAAAAAAAAATGATGCAGAAAATTTTAATAAATTTTAAAGACTAAAGATCCTGAACCGATACCATTATTGTCACGTCCGAACGCTGCAAATCAGTTTCGTGATTATTATATGTCACAAATTACTAAAGCTTTTGGTGAAGATTTAGATAAAATTCGAAAGGTAATTTATTTTTTACATAATATTCATCTTTATAAAATTTAATTATAATATATATATATTTTTTTTTTTTTTTTTTTTTTTTTTTTGATATATGAAAGGAACAAAATCTTGATTCTAATCGATTAGAAATATTAATTGATTCATTAGAATCTGGTATTAATATTTTCTCGGATGTTGAAAAAGAGTTGGCTTTATTATCTTATAACAATAAATAATAGTAATATAATAGTCTTTTTCTAAGTTATTATTATTTTTTTTTCAAGAATCAAAAGTTGAAATATGAATCAACAAATATACGAATTTTTTTCTTTCACTTCCATAGTAGATAATAAAGTAGTCACTTTATTCTATTAATTGAATTCATTATCATTATTGAAGCTAATTTATATTTTGAAATTTGAGTCATTAACTGAATGAAAAAAAAAACTTGAATGAAATAATTAAAAAATGTATGAATTAATTTTCAATATTGTATTATATGTCTTTACGACTTACTTTTATATTAGAAACCTTGATAATTAATAAAAGATTCATAAATAACTTTTTAAAAAAATTAAAAAACTACAATCTCTTAAATCTAGCTTGTAAAAATTTTCTATCAACACATAAATTCTTCGCTCTATTAATAGTCTCTCTTGCAACATAATCTCCGTCAACCAATTCAAAAAAACCATTTTGTTCAAATATTTGTTTTAAATATTCGATAGTAAAAAAATAAGACATAGTTCCGTCTTGTCTAACATAAAAATTTTCTTGTAATTTATGTTGAGCTGTTATATTTGAAAATCTAATTTCAGCTTCATCATTTTTCGCGTAGTCACGAAAACATATTATTGATCCTTTTTTTGTAACCTTTTTTTAAAAAAAGATTAATAATAAAAGTGATGAAAAAAAAAAAAAAAAACAAATCGGATTTATCTATATTACCTCTGAAATATTGCGAATTACATTGTAATGGCTTTCTGGAGGTATAGCTGACAATACAAATATTAATGAAACAACATCTACATTTCTTGATGGTATATGATCTTTTAAATTATCTGTCGTTAAATCACAAACAAAGGCATGGCATCTTAAATTATCATATTGTTCATGATTCTACTTGGACAACATTTATATTTAATTAATAAATAAATATATATTTAATAAATAAATTAATAAATAAATATATATTTAATAAATAAATTAATAAATAAGAAATTTTTATGAAAAAGATTTGTATATAAATGAATTTCTTACCTTAACAAATTCGATAGCACGTTTCGAAAAGTCACAAGCGTAAATAAAGAAATTAGGATTCGATTTCAAAACCGGAAAAACAAAATTTCCTACACCACAACCTAATTCTAAAATAATCTTTTCCACAAAAGGTTAAAAATTACTTTTTTTTTTTGTTCAAATTTAAAAAAGAATTAAAAAAATTAAATACTTTTTGTTCTAACTTGGGATCATTCTCAACTGAAAGTTCGGAAAATTCACGTCCAATCCAATTACGATTTTTAAAAAAGTTAGTGGTATTTCTTTTATAAAATAAATCCCTATTTTATTCGATAATTCGATATTGGTACAAATTATCATCGATAAGGAAGTTATTGAATTATTGATGTTATCTACGTATATATGAATACCAATTTTTCGAAGCTTCTTTCTTATATTTATCAATCCAAAATTTTGGAACTAATTTTTCATTTTGTTCATCTTTTGAAGTTGTATAAACATTTGATTTGTTATTGTCTATTTCCATTTTATTTACTCAATTTTTTAATATGTACGTGTTGTTATTTTTATTATAAAATTATTTGACAAAGTCATCAATGGTGAAATAAAAATTGCAGTATGCTTATGCTTCTTATATGATACCCAAAGTGACACAAACTTATTAATACGGGAAATGCCAATTTAAAAATCTAATGCTAATTTTAATAAAAAATAAAATAAAATAAATTGATAGCTTATTCAATAATTATTTTTAAGGACAAATGTATGTTCGCTCCTCCAACGTACGGGGGATCCAACCTTGTTGAATTCCAAGCATAAAATCCCAATGTGGAGAATTTTCCGCCTTAAAATTCCAAAAGATCCAACCAATTCTAATAAATAAATAAATAATTTATCAGCAAACCCAATTACTATAAAAAAAAAAAAACGAGAAACATCTAATTTTTTTTTTTTTTTAAACTCTTTACCCAGTTTCGTAAGCATCCATCTGAGCTGATGCGAATTGTTTCAAATAGTTTTTATAATCATCAGTCCATTTTGAATAATCACCTTCACCTTTACACGTGCAAGAAGGACAAATTGGACCATGATCTGCTTCATAAGTTCCATCATATCTAGCACCACGACCAAAACCATTTAACCATTTTGTGCAATCGGTTATGGCGAGACTCCTATTCAAAGGATTAATACAAAAAATTAAGTTAAATAATCATAATATAATATATAAAAAATAAATAAAATTAATTTTAAAAAAATTATTTATTTACCATTCTCCAATCAATGTCCAAATACCTTGATTAGAAGTAATGTCCGCTTTATTTGAACAGGCAAAATTTAATCGTTGTTCTTGATTCTGAGCCAATAAAGAGTAGTCAAAAACATCATAACTATGAGTATCCAAGGCGACTCGATCGAATTCTGAAGAACTTAGAAAATTTTGCCAAGTATTAAGAGGTAAAAAGGCAGTATGGTATATAATTAAAATATCGCTATTCACGTGACGAATAACTTTGTATGAATCTTTATAAAATTTTTGCGTTATATTAAATTGGTTACCACCCCAACTATTATTGCGAATGATAAAAAAAAAAAAAATTAACACTTTTATAAAAATATATAGTATTTTAATATTGAGAAAAATAATAAGTCATTTGCCTGGCTGGTTCATTAAGAACGTTGATAGCAGTAATAGTATTTTTAAATTCAGGGCGATTAAACCTTTCAATCATGATTTTAATGGCTTTAATAGTACGTGGGATATTATCCGGAGAACTAGTTTGCCAACCAATGGGACCTCGTCTACCACTGTTATCGAATCCATTCTAGACATAAAACATTAATCAGTGAAGCGCATCATAATTATTAATAATGAAAGTTAATATTAATAAACTTTATAAACCTGAGAGCCTGGTGCACCATGTAAATCGAGAACAACATTTAAATTATATTTCTTAGCCCATATAACTGCTTTAACTAAATATTGGAAAGCGCCTTTGACAAATGGTTCTTCTGGTATCTTGTCTAAGGCCCAATAACCGATAGGTATCCTATCAAAAGATATTAAAGAAATTATTACCTATAAAACACATACGAGAATACTTAAGTACCTAAGATGATTTAATCCATAAGAAGCCAAGGTTGCTATATCTTTTTCAGTGACCCATGTTGACCAATGCTTTCGAAGTTGTCGTTTAGCCTCGTGATAACCTAAATATTGAGTGAACGTGTATTCATCTACAACTTCTTGTGTGATACCAACGAATTGCTCAAAAATGCTCGGCGTAATCCCTGATATATAAAAATGATTAATGTATAACAGATAAATAATAAATAAATATATCTCGAATATTTATCATTATTCCTAAAATTGATACCGATACGATTACATATACGATAAAGATTATAAAAATTTTATATCACAAATATCACATGTATTGTAATATGTGACAACTTTGAATTTACGGTAATTCTTTACATAATATAATTTTTTACTTACATGGTTCTAGCACCAACCTTACCAAAGAAAAAAGAAAATTAATTATTAAGGACCGAAATTATTACATAAATAAATAAATTCTTAAATTCTTAAGGATAGTTACCAGCCTCCAAGATTTACACCACGCACTTTTTCTTGTCCATAATTAAATACGCGAGTATTATTAAAAATTTTACTGGAAGAATTGATAGAATTGGTAATTAATTGATATCGTAAAGCTGGATAGAGAGGTTTAGTTGAACAACAATAAATCAAGGTTAAAATGACTATTAAGCAAAAGAGAAAGTATTTGGATCGTGATAACATTATTAATGTAATAATAATCATGAAAATAAAAAAGTTGAATTCGCGTAGTAAATCTTAAAAAAAAAAAAAAATGCGGATATTTATATATTGTTGGGAACAATAATTTACACGAAAAATTTTATTATTATTGTTATTATTATTATGATTTTTGAGAAACTCGTATTACCAAATGCTTTAAAAATGTAAAATTAAATCACGCGACGTAAGAGAAATACAAAATGTTGATCTGTTTCAGATTAAAATTAATTATACGTGATGGTAGAATAAGTCTCATTTAAATAGAGTCGGAAGTTGGTGGACGAGACAATTTTGCTTTCGTTGACTTGAACACATTAATAGCTAAGGTGAAATGTAAAGAAGATAATAATCTTTTGATAAACACTAAATATAATTTTGGCGTTATGAAAATAATGTGAAACCAGATAAAGTTTTGAAACCATTATAATTGTAAAACAAGATTATTGAAAAAGTATATTTTCCTCGAATGATTACATGATTGTCTGCTTTAAAACATGACTACCATATCATCAGCGCCAGAACGCCCCCCAAAAAAATGTAATTAACTAGTAAACTCTAGAGTGTAAGCTATGACGATCAACCAATATTTTATTTTTTTTTTCCCGCGCATTATTTCTTGTTATCTGGCATGAATACACAGTTATTATTCTGTTGATACCGTATTCGTCACCATCATGCCGGATAACTAGTTTATTCGGCAGGTATGACGTATACACTTACGGAAAAAATTGATATTATGCCGCAGGTTTTATATTAAAATAACCCAGAATTTGTCAGATAATTTTAATATTAACCTGCGGTAGGGATACCGAAAATCTGTGGCGACAACCCTTGAAATCTGCTTTCTATAAAAGGCCATTTATGCGAAATTATGCGATAAAATTTTAAAATCTGCTCCAATTTCTGCTACGTATACGTATTATGCTAAAAGGTTAATATTATGTAACAAAAACGAACAAAAATTAGAAAAAAATTAAAAATTTTAAAAGTCTTAAAATTTTATTATGTAAACTAGTCTTGGGCTTCTAATTAAAAGTTTTAAGCTCTTAATTTTGCATATATATATGCCTTCTAACCCTAACCCTAACTAATCCGAATTTTAGTTTTTTTTTTTAAATATGAACCTGCGATATTTAACAAAATTCTTTTAAAAAATGTCTTTCCACTTTTACCCGAGAACCATGCTACCATGCTCGTCTTTGGAGGTTCAGTGACCTAGGGTTGTTAATGGGTTGGGTTCACTCCGGAGCCACTCCAGACTTGCTTAGTAGTTGCTCCGGCTCACTCCAGTTTCACTCCAGATTTTTAGTTATAACTTTAACCCACTCCAACTTGGGTTGGGTTCACTCCGGAGTAGCTCCGGAGTATGCTACTCCATTAACAACCCTACAGTGACCATCTACCTCGGAACTTCCCGGGCTTTTTGCTTTTACAATTTCGCATATTTTCTGCTCCGCTACGTAAAAAATATGCTCGATTTTATGCGATTTAATGAATTATGCTCAAAATTCTGCTGTTTCTGCTTTTAACATCGAATTATGCGATCACATATCTGATATGCTATGCGACAAATATTAACTTTATGCGCAGATTATGCTATCGCAGATATTCTGTATCCCTAACCTACGGCAATAATGTGAAAATTTTCCCGTCAGTGTTTACATAGTACCTGCCGAATAAATTCAATTATTGTTCGTATATTTGCTCAACTTTAAAGTAGTCATAAGAATCATACCTATTAACCGAAACGAAACTAGTTTCGACGAAATTCTGAAACCCCAGAACTTAAAAAAATTTAGTGATTTTCTTTAAAAAAATAAGCATCTTCATATTCGCGTTATGCACTGAGTATCAAATCCAAATTTTTTAAATTTAATAATAAAATGTTAATGATCAAATGTAATGTCAGAATAATTAAGGTAATTGAAATAAAAAAAAATTCATCGAATTTGGTTAGGTAGTTGTCGAGAAAACTTTGCTAAGTTTTAAGAAAGTTTAACTTCTGCTTTGTTTTTCCAAGTCATGAATTTTCTCAAACTTTGAGCAACAACTATCTAACAAATTCGATGAAAATCTTTTATTTCAATTCTAAATTTCTGTAGTATTAAAATAAAAAAATTTTCATCGAATTTTAGTTGGCAGTCCTTTGTTTATAGGCGTGATAAATCATCTCAAACTTTGAAGTTTTCTCGACAACCACCTAATCAAATTCGATGAAAATTTTTTTTATTTTAATTATATAGACATGTAGAATTGAAATAAGAAAAATGTTCATCAAATTTGGTTAGGCGGTTGTCGAGAAAGCTTCACTCAAAATTTAAAAAACTGCAAAAAACGTACTTAATGGTTGCCAATCAAATTTTAGGCGCAGTATAATTTCATAATTTAAGCCAGCTATAATTTTTCTGGTCAGAAGCATAATGTAATTTATAAATTTTTGAGATATATTTTATTTCGAAAGTCTCCGTTTCTTATGTTCGTTAATTATCTACTATACCGAAAATTTCCGATAATGGCAGCGCTTTTCAAGCAGGCATTTGGTAACTTACCACCAAAATTCACGGTAACTTACCGCGATAACTTACCACGGTAAGTTACCATTAACAACACTGGATAATGTTCTACAGTTCATGTAAATTTACACGATTGATGCTAAATCGCGATAGCGATAAAATCTCTAAATTTTGGGGTTTCGAGTTGGCCCGAAGTGTATAAACAAAAAAATAAATAAAATATTTACTATTACTATTTGTATAATTTTACGGTATAAACTATAGTTTATATACCAGTATTAGTTTAGTTTTTTAAAACATTAGTTGACTATTTTTATGTTATAAAATTTTAACCTGTTTATCTAACAATCAATAATTTTCATTTACGCTGCTCATGTTTTAATTTTGAAAATGAATACTAAATATGAATACTATACAAACCTTTAGAGAAAAATGTTTACGCGATTATATGGGATAGGTTTCATGTTGCATAAATCATAATTACTCTAGGTTTTTAAAATGAATTCCTATCTGACATGATAGATAATAGATACAACTAAAATTATGCAATACTTTTTTAATTATATTTAAATGACTTAAGTCAATTGTGTGTGACCTTAATTGTATGATATTCAAATGAAAAGCCTTATTTATAATTTGAAGGGTATAAATACATTTCGATGATACAATAAAGTGTGCGATCAAACCTTTACCGGCTTTATCGAAAAAACTTTAGACAACTGTAAATGTTTGTAAGGTCTATCAACTCTGCTATTTATAAATAGATTACCGATTTTTTTTTTTTATTGGCCGGATCGCGCATTTAACTTCTAAGTAAATAAAAATTTATTCCATAATTTTTGAAAATATATCTCTATATTACATATATATTTTACGCGTAAATTCAAAGTTTTAGCATAATGGCTTCGGTATTTCAAATTAATAATCAACTGACAATACTTCTTCCAAGTCATCCAACATCCATGAAATATCTTCAGGATCTTCCATATTAGATATCATAAAGCTATTATTTTCCGGATCTTTATTCGAAATCGATATTACTTTCATTTCTAATACAAATTACAATTATAAATAATTATTACTCTTATTAATGTTTATACCATCAATTCTTTTTTTTTCAACTTACGAGATTCATTATCCCTTGTCGATTCATTAACCTCAGAGTTTCCTTCATTTTTATTTTTATCAGAATTGTTGGTAATATCGATCTGATTAATATTCGTATTTACATCTTCGTTAGGTTCTTTAGTAAGATCGATAGTTAATACCTCGTCAGGTAACTGTTTAATATTTTATAAAAACTTTATTATACGTTGTTAAAAATAGGTAATAAAATTGGTGAAACACTGACTATTGAGTCAAGATTATTTGATCGTTCAGCTTCTAATATCAAATAAATGTTGGCGACGGTTACATTGAGATATGTATTTTCAATAGAACGAAGAATTGCTACCTAAATTGAACAGAAGACATTGCAAAAAAATAATAATAATCGTTAAAAGAAATGTAATAAAGAAATGAATTTTAAAAATTTTATAAACTCTTTAAATATTTTACGTTCTTTAGTACAATAATTGTACCAATTTGAAACTGTCGACCATGAACTCGATGTACTTTTTCATGAATAATTATTTGTATTTTTCCTTGATAAACGAATAACAATGGTTAGTAAACACCATCAATTTTATTTTTAACTGTAAATTTTTATATCTACCTGTATAATCTGCAATAGTGGCGACTTTTTTATTCAAATCTAGTTCAACAATTTTTCCAACAGTAAATGGAATTTTGACTTTAATATCTTGCCATTGTTTCAATACTTTTATAGTATTCCGGCTAAATTCTTCTGCTAAATTTACATTAAATATTTTTATTTAAAACATGTAAAACACAAAATCTGAATAACAGGTTATAGCATGTGATTTTTGTTACACAGTTCTAGGGTTCTCATCATAATATCCCATTCTTCTTTGGATATTTCGATAGCTTTGGGAGGTTCAAAAGGTTTGGAACCAGAGGCGTTTTTCTCCCTGTAACGTTTTATTACATTATTGAGAGTTATGTCATCAAACTTTGCTAATTCAGGTCTTGCGGCAAGTGCTCGAATATCATTATGCTTTTTTTGTAATTTAAAACAGTATTAAGTTTATAAGTTTTATTTTGATTTTTAATTAATTTGTAATAAAAAGAAATATTATTTACATAAGTAGGAAGGAATTCGATAGGTCCAGCAATTTTAGTCATTAAATCACTTTTTTTTCGAGTCACTACATTTTTTAAAGTATTACGTTCCATGATTGATGAAGTTGGATTCAAATTCTCTACAGATCTCGTTTCAAGTAGAGAATTAGCCAGTGATCTTTGAAAGCTTCTTTGATCACCAAGTTTTGATAAAGTATCATATTCATCCAAATTATGAGGAATAAACTTTTTTGTACTAGATGATGATGATGATGATGATTCTATAGATTTACTTCCAAACATAAAACTACTAAAAGATCTTTGAAATTGACCTTTTAGATTATTATCTGAAAGATTTGAATTTCCAATATCATTATCTTCAGCATTTTTTCGATATTGACTCCATTTAGATGCTGTTGAATTTGATAAAGAAAGTCGTTTAGCTGGTCTTTCATATTCTTGAATGTCATCATTTTGTTCTTCGTCTTGATTATTATTTTTTTTGTTCCATTTTGGGTAATTTCCATAAAGTTGGTTTTTCCTTTTTTGTTGCCAGTCAGACGAATAAGGACGAGATCTTCGGTTTGATGTATATTCGGGTAGTTCAGTATGTGAATTTTTAGATCGAAAATGAACAGTTGGCAAGAATCCATCTTCATCCATTTCTTTTATATCTTTTGCAGTTAGAAATTATCAAGTTAAAGTGAATTACAGTAAGTTTGGTATAAGGAGAACACAATCCGTTAAAACTCGTATAAAAATAAATTTTTATATAGAACCAAGCCAATAATATGTCATTAAAAAAAAACAACTGATTATTCTATTGAAAGGCCGCATTCCGATGTATAAAAACCGCCCTAGCATTCCCCTTAAAAAAGTTACGTAATTGAGTTTAAATTCGCTTCGTTATATATTAACAAAAAATTATACCTAGGGATGGCAAAAAAACGTCTTTTTAATTATTTTAATATAATGTTTTAAAACATCGATGATTAGGCTTAAACTGAAATTTACCATGTGATTAGTTAATTTCAAAATAAACTCTTGATCAAATGTACAAATTCATTTGTCATCATTTTGTAAGTAATAAATCGTTTGCCATCCCTAATTATACCGCAAAATAAACAGTAACTACGAATTTTTTGATTTGGTGATTATTAAAAATATTTCATCAAATTTAGACCAATCATTTACGTGATATTGCATAATTATTGGTCAATGGCTATAAGTGATTCTGATTCTTCCGATGTATAGATGTTAGACGAAACCTAGGAGGTTTCGTCATGACGAAAGGTGAAACCCTAGTTTCACCTTTCGTCAAAAAAATTTTGAAATTGTGAAACAGCGAAACTGACGAAACTGACGAAACTAACAAAAGGTGACAAAATTAGTAAAAGATAATGAAACTAGTAAAAGTTGACAAAATTAAAAAAAAGTGACGAAACTACTAAAAAGTAATAAACTAATATAAGTTACAAAATTTATATAAAATATTATTTTTTATAAAATATATATTGTGTCTCATATTATTATTTTAAAAAATTGTTACTATATTATTTTTAGTTAATTTAAGTTGTTAATATAGTATAGTTTTTGAATTTAATTTTTTTAACTTCTAGTTATTTAAGATAAATTTTAAATATAAAATATATAAATAAATTTTTATATTATTATTTATAACTCTTTCCCGTAGATCCCAAAACCAATATACGGAACAGAGGAAAAAATAATAACAATAAAAAATCTTCATAATACGCTTGTAAATAACTAATTAAATAATAAAAATACAACAACAGACTCTATATATACAACAAAAAATTAAAAGAACTAGAGAACTAGCTTCCCACTGGCCCACTCTCTCAAAAAAACTGTTGCTGACTATGTTAGCAGCATCAACAACTAAGAAAAAAGTTAGAGACAGGCTTATTAACTCTACTACTATACCAGATACTATATCTTTTGATACTACTTATATCAATAAACACCAGAATAAAAAAAAACAAGAAAACTAATAGACAACTTTCTCAACTTAACAAAGAAAATATAGATACTTCAACCTCTATTACAAAAAATAAAAAAAAATTTTAAAAAAAGTGATGATTCTAGTTTACCCTTGACAATAGAGTATATGATGTCAACAAAACAAACAAACTACATGATTAGTAAACAAACTGATGAGCAGAATTCTAGTAAAATTTCTAATTTCTCATGCTCTGATCGAGTTCTACTAATAAAACAACCTATAACTTGCACTGATAGACTTACAACTGTTCTTAATACAAATATAGAAGAAGTTAAAACAATTTCTAGGGATACAACTCTGACTACAACACCAGAAGTAACTTCAACATCTCACAATATCCTACCAAGAACATATAGTTCAGTAGTAATGAGTAGACTAGAACAAAGACTAGCTGCTATAGATGCAAGAAAAGATAAAGAAGCTACTTGAATATATGCTTTTGAATTAGGACTAAAAATTAGAGGAAAGAAAACTATAAGAACTTCAACAAAGAGAACTGGTATTACAACAAATGCTTAGAAATCTTTATATCTATTGAAATTCTAGATGACTTTATATCATATAAAATTCAAACTCTCTTTACAGAACACTTAATTCTTCCAGCAATTTATACCAAACTCCACCATAAGGACAACCAATTTTTAGTACTTTCTCTTGATCTTCTGTGACCAAACCTTAACATTAAAAAGAATTCAATATACTTCTAAATATGGCAATAGGAAGATACAAAGACCAATACAATGTCATTATAACAAACAAAACAAATTGAGATAAAATCTTTTACAAACTATAACAAAAATTAGATATAGACTACTTATTATCTCTAGATCTAAATATACTTACACTAAAAGAAATCACTAGAATAATCTTCTACCTAGCTGGCTTTACAAAAACACTGATATTATACAAATTTGATGAAGCCTTAGCACAAATTGACAAATGCCTAACTGCTAACTACTTACTGTTATTAGACAATCTCTCAGATATTCCTGCACATATTACCTTTTGCTTTGATTTTACTTTGCCTATAACTAACTCCTTTGATATAGAAGCTACTGTAAGAGTATTAAGAAAAATATTTAATTTTCAATGACTACCTGAAAATTATATCAAAGATATATGAACTACTCTCCCTACTAGTTCAAGAAATCTCTATGTCTAAGTCAAAGATTTGTTTTCTATCACAAAACAGAGTGAATTAAAAAATCTACTGGGCTACAGAAAAGTATTACAAGAATTTTATACTTTTGACCAAATTCTAACAAACTACTTTGATCTTCCTGCATCAAAACCACAACTACCTCTAACTCCACAAGATCTGCTACTATGTTTACAACAAAAATTTCTATTTCTTCTAAAAAATAGAGAAGACTTACTAGAATATATTAATTTACTACACCAGGATTTTGCTTTTTTAAAATTGCCTAATAATTATTTTATTCCAAGATGAAAGCTCCCTCAAGAACCAAAAGATTTATAGCTAACAAATACTTATATCTTTCTATTTACAAACAAAGAAGAAACAAAAAAATTTCTTATAGAAATTCCAAAAGTCTATATAATCCTATTTCCTCTACTAAAGAGATATTGTACTTGCAACTATTCTGACTTATTTGAGCTTCTAGCAGAGGCTGAAAAAGTAATAGAAGTAAACCTAACTCTACCTATTAATACAACAAAGGAGCTAGTTATAGTATCATAAGCTTTATATGAATATTATTTCTTCTACAAGATATCAGAAACATAGATCCAAATATCTAAAAGAGATAACTATAATCTAGATACTCCTTCAAACAATATACAAGATCTGATACAAACTATTCAACAAAAATAGCTAGAAAAAAAAATTGATTTTCTAATTACAAAATATGAAGATATACTACAAATAACAAGGTTTATTACTGACAACTTCCACTATAATAACCTTCCTAATTTTATCTTTGCTCTCTCTAACTTATTATCCCTTAATTAGGATATTTTTAACAACTCTTCACAAAGTATCAAGTCAGATGATGATAATACAATAATGGGTGAAATTCCTAAGTTAGATTATGAGCAATAATATAACTATATCTACTAGCTATACCAACACTAAAATTCAACATAACAATTCTAATATTAATAAAAAAATAGAAATTGCAACCCATAATATTCAAGAACTAAATAATCTAGTCAAATTACAGAATTGAATACAATACTATAGTAAGAATAATTTACATATTATCTCACTAACAGAGACAAAACTCAAAAACACAAATGAATTTACTCTAACAAACCCAACTTACAAAATTTTTACCTTAAACTTTATCTCCTACTAAAGATAGCAGTAAGAAGCAAACTTAGGCATAGCTCTAATGATATACTACTCATTAACACCATATATAAGAAATATCTTAACATATCTAGAAATACTAATTTGATTAGACTTCTAATTTTCTAATAATAATCATATGAGTATAATCTCAACATACCTTTCTTCTAACTATGATGACCTGCTTACAAGAATACAAAGACAACTAAACAATTGGATAGATGAGATTAAAACAAAAAACTGGTATTTACTAATTATAGGAGACTTCAACGCAAATACTAATACTATGAAAAAAAATATATACTTTTTCCCAAACTCCAACTTGCTAGTTTCTCAAGCTTATTAGAATTCTATAATATTTTCATATCCATTTAGCAATGTCAAGAACTTACTAGTCAAATTGATAATATCTAGGCTTCAAGTAATATCTTACTTGATTTGAGTGCTCCAATACTATCTAAGGCAATCAGAATTTCTGATAATGACTACAAAATTATAAATATAACCTGGTATACAAGGTTTACTCCACCTGGTCCTAGAAATAGGAAAAAAAAGAAAAGGAAAATATATCATTATGACAAAATAAAAGAGCAAGACTATAAAGACTTTTCGAATACTGTAGATACTCTAATAAATTCTGCTCTAGACTCAAAAAACTGCTTGAATACTACTACTCTTAACAAGCACTAGCATATATAGTTTCAAAAGATAAAAGAAGCTATCAACAAATATATTCCTTATACTTTTATAGCATCTAAAACTTTTTACTCAATATTACTTAAGTCAATAAAGCTACATTCAGCTCTACAAAATATCAACAAAGCTCTAAATATAATTACAACCAAACCAGATACTCTATTAGATACTTTTAACAAATATATTTCTAAGGCCACAACATAAGCTAACATAATTATTCTAGATATTAGCCAAGATGAATATAATAGTAATCACAACAGCATCACTAATAAGCTCAAAAAATACAAAAATATAATCTAGCAAACATGAAATATAGAAAAAAGAAATGAACAGAATGAGAAAATCAAATTCTATATTAATTGTAGATACTCTGATTTCAAAGACAATACAACAAGAATAATAGATAGTATCCTACAACAATACACAGACCAGATTAATTATGAAAAAATTATTTTGAATAATAAAATACTAACTGAACCAAAAGATATTAAGGAGGCTACTCAGCAACACTTTAAAAACTGAATAAAAGAAAACAAAATAATTGGTAAATCACAAGTCATCTGGACAAAATAATCTGTATTTATTAAATTAATATAATGCAAATTTATTAATAAAAAATCTAATTTTGAAATG